ACGTGGAAGGTGACGATGACGATGACGGTGACGGTGACGGTGACGGTGACGGTGACGGTGACGCTGACTGTGACGCTGACGGTGACGCTGACGCTGACGGTGACGGTGACGTTGACGCTGACGGTGACGCTGACGGTGACGCTGACGCTGACGCTGACGGTGACGCTGACGGTGACGCTGACGGTGACGATGAATAAGTGGTATATACACACACAGCTTGTATATTTACATGTACAGGGAGGGTGACGAAGTGAACATAACTAAACTAGGCGGCTAGTGAGTAATGGTACACATAGTCTATATTTCTACGTGTACGTGGAAGGTGACAAGGGACGGGGGTGGCTAGTATGAGTAATGGTACACATAGTCTATATTTCTACGTGTACGGGGGTGACTGACTAGAAAACGGGTGGCTAGTAAGTAATGGTACACATAGCTTATATTTCTACGTAAACCCAACAACATAATCAGCAAATATTTTCGGGTACGATCAGTGGCCATCACGCTATATGCTTACATACAGGGAACACTATACCACTTGCAGGCGAGCAGCTGCTTAGGTAGAGCGTGCATAAACTCCGTTAAAAGAACTTGAAAAATGTATCGCTGTCTCCAGACCGGTACATCGCCACACATCTGTCAATTTTACCGACTGCCAGGTGATAATTAAAAAGACAGATCGCTTTCTGTATTGCAGTCATTGCTATCTGTTGTGACCTAGTACGTTTTGCCACGATCCACACTCCAAACTCGATATGGTAATCAGACACCGCGGTCATTGTACGCTTACACGTAGCTCATTTACAATTTTGATATTTTTCACTATGGTTCTATTTAAAACTGCGTTTTTACGAGAGGCAAATTTCCGAGTTCTTTCATATCACTATCAGTGTGTAATTAGAATCAAGAATTTAGAATCAAAATGGCAAAGTTAATAAATTCCAAATATAGGAACAGCACTATATAAATGCAATCCTAATATGTGTCGCATTATTATTACAATAACACTTTGAGCGCGCGTTTCTGACATAGATGTCCTATACAAACTTACGTACATGTATGTATAGGAGGATATCAATGGTTTTGCCCAGAGCCTATATTATATTATAGAGATCAGTGGTTTTGCATCAGAAACGGCAGTTTCTTAGATTACTTACGCCACCTACCGGCAAAATAAAATAGTGATAAATTTAGTAATAAAATAGCATTTAGTTGCTGCGTAGCTACATAACTTGATCGCCATGAAATTGGCAATTGGAAAATGGGTAGTAATAGTATTGACTTAAATATTCAATATCCGTTAAGAGATATGGTGACGATGTGCTGTGAACGTATTTTATCAAATATAATTCAATACAATGCATAATTAAAGGGACAGTAGCCTCTAGGATTTTACTGCATACAACTGTACTTACTGTATAACAAATCGTCTATACCTACATGTATTTGTCACCAGATACTTAATTAATTATTTACACATCAACGCTACGAAATTTGAACGGCGCCATGACACCCGCGACCGTGCTGCCACC